CAAGCCTTAAACTCACCAGGACTAGGTGCCAGTCATGTTCAATATATAGAGTAAAAATGCTGAGGATCTCAGGGCTCAAGATATTTGTATCCAGGTCTCCTCTTGGAGATGAGAAAGGGATTTGCCCCTTCCCTGAGGAGTGATGGGTCATTACAGCCTCCCACACAAAGCTCTAGAGTTTAATGCATGACAACATAATTTCTATCGAAGCAGGGGCAGAATGGAAAAAAGCCAGCAGGGTTTTTAATTCAGGGAAACTAGCTGTTCTGTGGCCTTTAGTCCACAGTTTCTAGTGAGAAGGAAGCCCTTGATTTCAAAAGGATTAAAAAGCCCCCAACATTTGCTGAAATCACTTAGGAGTTTCCCTGAGCAGGAATTTGATCATTCTAGCTACTGCTTGGACATTTTTCCGGTTTAATGTGCTTTACATGGAAATAGGCTTTAGCAACAATTTAACAAATCGGTGCTGACAGTCTTTAATCCTGTCATATACTGTCTTTAATCATATCATCTGTTTTCCTCATGTTTCCTGTTGCTGTGTATGTTTTATTTACAAGCTTAATAGATAATAGTGTCACTAAGGAATATTTTGGCTAGATTTCAACCAACTCACCAGGGGATATTGAAAGTATCCTAATTGGCAAGCCGAGGCAAAGAATATTGCTAAGTTGAAACAATTTAAGATAGTTAAACATAGTTTTCTTTTTTAGTAATAACAAAGTAAACTTGTTAGTGATTAAAAAAAATTATTTCTGAAATTGTTTAACTCATTGTATATAAAGTAGCTTATTCTGAGAGAAAGTTATTTTGTGGAACAGAAAACTGAACAGTGATGGGATTACAGTAGGAATGAGGCTTACAAAGGCTTGATTTTCTGTTTATGGACAAAAGATTCATTAGAGCAATCTTGAAAGACTGCTAAGTACCAAGCAGCTTAAAATGTTGTGAGAAAAACTCTCTTTTATGTGCTTCAGTCTGGGACAATGAACAGTAGGGACAGCATGTGACTGAATAAAAATTAGGACTTAATATTTTCTGTGATTTTTCATAAAACTTATGGGGAATCTTCAAGGAAATACTTAATGGTTTTGTTTTTAATTACCCCTCTCCTTTTTGGATACCACCTATTTTAAAACTGAAAAAACCCAACCAACCAAAAACTGTGACGGAAGTTTATAATGTAGGTACTACATTTTTACCAAATAAAGGCACTATTATATAGTTATAGATTTTAATACAGCATTACTCCAAACATAAGCAATAAAATCAGTCTGTCCTGTGAATATGCAGAAAATATTTTAAGAATTGATTATGAAAAATACAGGTACTTTAGTCTTCTAAATATATGCCTTTTATTTGGCTTTAACTTCATACTCTGTTAAGTTTTCTTAAGGACTAACTGTTAAAACTGCTTTCCTTATTAGATGTTATCTATCCACTGATAAGGCTAACTATAAAGATAAGTCACTGCAAGGAGAGGGAGACTTGATGTGAAAGTGGAAATGTAGAATTTAGCACTCCAGATTTCCCAACATGCCAGAGGTTTCTAGTTTTTCTCACCAAAGCACTCATTTTTGTATGAATCACCAGTACTGCCAAAATCCATCTACACAGGCAAAAAAGGAGTGACAAGAAAGGAAAAATGAAAAATGTTTCACTGATGGCTGAAAAGTAAGTATAGGAAGGAAAAAAATAAGGGACACCCTTCCTCATTATCTTCTTCCTTGCCAAGGGAAAGAAAGATGGATGCAAAATGGAGAAGTGGAAGTGCAAGTTAAAATGGAATGGCATTAATGTATCCCCCACTGCCTTGATCTGGGGCTTTGTCATTTTTGCATCAATGATATTCCTTACCTTACTTCAGATCTATTCTACAAGAAAATATTTCTTCAGTCCTTCTTACTGAAGTATAACTGATATACAATATTTCTTGTCCCAGGAACTGCCGGAGTAAAACAATGGATTGATCATGTTTCATGGACTTTTACTTACACAACTATTCCCCAAAGTTATATGACCACTGAATCAATATTGATTCATTAAGAAAATTTCTACTGTATCACTACTAACTTCCTTGAATCTCAACCCAGAGATAACCTGTCTAAGGGGTAACAAAATGGAAGAGTATGTTCCTGACATTATCAGGGCATCAGGAGGAAATAACAAGCGAAAAAGCTTTAAATTGTATAATCATAAATTTCTTTTTCATTTAAATGCTTCATGTCATAGGAGACAGACAACACTACCAGAGAAATCTCATTAAATGTAAAGAAATAGTCTGTTGGAATTGTTGAATATTCCCGGCTGCAACTTTCTATCCTCTTTTAATGGTTACATGAGATCTCAACTAGCCAATATATAAGTACATTCAGACATCATCAGTTTGTCCATTACCATGATCTTGCTGTTTGATTATACTGGGGAAATCTTAAGTATTTCCCCATCATAAGTAAAAAGGATTTAAGTAAACTTACCCATTAAGCTTTTCTTCTTGATTTTTTTTTTCCAAACATAAAGGAAGTTTCAAAGAGCACAGGAAGTTTTTAAGAGCACACCTAATTCTTAAGAGCAAGCTGGTTTTGAATTTCAAAAGTCTTCCCATCAAAAGGTGTGAACATGAACTAGTGTTCTACAAGCCCTTTATTAAGAAAGACCACTTGCTTACAGAGCTTTCATTGTTATTTGTAAAAAAGAAAAACATGGTCCAATTTTATGTGACTAGATATTTAAGTAATTAATTTATGTTAATTTAAATTTACTGTGGCTAGAATTACAATGTACCTTATGACTTTACACCAAGTGACTGTTACTATTTCTTCCAATTTTAGCTTAAAACTGAAGTGAATTAATTAAAAAAAAATTAATGAAAAATAAATAAAATTTTAGTGTGTAAAATTTCTATGGAAAAGTTAGTTTAAAGTGTCTATAATTACATCAGTTAAAGAAGAATATTTCTAACAGGCCACTATCTTATTAATACAAATAGATTTCAGAACTGGTAAGAAATTATGCAGATGTGTTAGAGAAAAAAATTTTAGATTTGAAATGATAGTTGGATTTTCACTTGCAAATCACTATGTTTCAACAAACACTACCTTAGAGTCCTTGCAGTAGGAAAAAACTCTGGTTGTATCTTCTGGCAGTATTTTTGAATCTCTGCTCTCTCACCAGTTTGGTTTCAGAGCTGTTGATAAGAGAAGGCATCAGTAATGAGCTTTTTCTTTGCTTAAACTGTTTGCTAAAAGGCTGAATGGAGAAATGAGGGGAAGTTGAGCTTCTATGCCCTCATGTATTAAAAAAGTGAGCACAGTCTAAAATCTTAGGGAGATTTGTGACCACGTGCACTACAGTTACTAAATAATCTTTGAGCAACATTTTTATCTTCTGTTTCTACCTTCCACCAGTTTCAAGTTGAGATATTCTCAAGTCTCATTGAAAATATTTAACATACTGAAATCCCCTTTCAGGATTTCTTCTGCATTTGGCAAGAAGAAGATCTTGCCTATTGCCTTAACATCTATTTACCTTGACATTTTTGCTGCAATGTAGTTTAGGTGAACTTACATTTACAGCAAGAGAAAATTCAGTAATGCAGAGCACAGTGGTAAATGGGAGGACACAAGCTTAGTACTTTATGGATTCAACACTGAAAAATAAAATACCATCTGTATTTCGTGGTACTACCTACATAGGTATGAATGTAGGTAAGCCCCTGTTTGGGGTGCAGATCAGATAGACTGGTTTAGGTTGGTTCCTAAAGAAAGAATATGCATGAATCATCCAGTATTTCTGCCTACTCCATCTGCACTTCCATTTTAGTTTAGCAGTCTGGTTCTATACATTGCTGCTCATAACCAGACAGTTCACTGATCTACAACCCTTGGCATTCTCAAGTGGATCAGGCCTCACAGAATTAGAAAAACTTAAAAAAAAAATCCCCCAAAACTCAATCAACAACAACAACAAAAAGACCCAACCCAAACTCAGCTGTTCTTGATAAGGTTCTACATTTGCATTGATGTCCTATCATTTCCAGCAGGATTCCAGATTTTGGGGGCATATTTGCCAAGTACTATGACTGGCAGCAATCTGTAATTCAAAGAAAATGATCAGTAAATGAGTTCTTAGCAATTATCAGTTTAAACTCTCACTAGATCCTCAGGTTAATTGCTGAAATCCAGTGCCAGGTGCAGGATAAGGATGGCATGGCTTTCTGTTTGTTGTCTGTGAAAGTCTAAGTGTCACTTTGGCAATATCTGTGATCAAACTAAACATCCCCTGAAGACTTTGCACAGAGCATAAATGCTGTCCTTTGTTTCTTTTGGCAGGATAATTGAAGCTATCTGCATAGGCTGGTTCACTGCAGAATGCATTGTGAGGTTCATCGTCTCCAAAAACAAGTGTGAGTTTGTCAGAAGACCTCTCAACATCATAGATTTGCTGGCAATTACTCCTTACTACATCTCTGTTCTAATGACAGTTTTCACAGGGGAAAATTCACAGCTTCAGAGGGCTGGAGTCACCTTGAGAGTCTTAAGAATGATGAGAATCTTTTGGGTGATTAAACTGGCCCGTCATTTCATTGGCCTTCAAACACTTGGTCTGACTCTGAAGCGTTGTTACAGAGAGATGGTGATGCTACTTGTCTTTATCTGTGTTGCTATGGCAATTTTCAGTGCACTTTCACAGCTTCTTGAAAATGGGCTGGACTTGGGAACAAAGAATAAGGATTATGCCAGCATTCCTGCTGCTTGTTGGTGGGTGATCATCTCGATGACCACAGTTGGTTATGGTGACATGTGTCCCATCACTGTACCGGGAAGGATTCTTGGAGGAATTTGTGTGGTTAGTGGCATCGTTTTATTAGCTCTGCCAATCACTTTCATTTATCACAGCTTTGTGCAATGCTACCATGAGCTCAAGTTCCGATCTGCTAGGTACAGTAGAAGCCTCTCTGCTGAATTCTTAAATTGATCCAACTTGCATTCTGTTGTACTTACTTGCTAAGCTTTGTCTTAGAAGAGAACGGTGGAAGGTCCCTTCACGTGTCCTCCTTGACTGGATGGTCCTGTGGAACAACATTCTCACCAGCCCGGAGAAAGCCCGTCACCATTCAGACAGGAAGGATGTCCATCTGCCTTGAGCACCTTGCAAGGAGAGGGAGTGATGTTTCAAATTTGAGAGAACAAAATTAACAAAAGAGGATTCAGAAGTCCTCAACCAGACCAGTTTGGTGTTCAGTTTGCCTTCCCACAAAAAAAGCAGAACAAAAAATGGGTGTAACATTGTGATCTGTCATTTCTGTAATTATATCCTAAACCATTCTAAGCAATGTGTAGCAGAAGTTTTTCAAAGATTCCAATATCTAAATGCTTCACAGAGGCATTAATAGCTTCTTGCCTGAAGTATCTCCGCTTTTAAATCAGATAACCAAATTATATGCTGAAGGAGAATCACTGCTACTTTTGTGCTTTGCAACAAAGTAGAGCTGGTTCTGTGACTCAGGAAAGAAGAAGAATATAGGTCTGTAGGACAAAAAAAAATCTTGAGGCCTGATTCTGATCTTTGAGGAAGCACACAAATCTTTTGTAAACCCAGTGAAGTCGGTGGCATTTCTCTGAATTTGAGAGTTCACAAAGAAGTGCAAGAAGTGAACCTCCGAATGTTGTAAGCAAGGACTTCTTTAGGTCACAGTTAATTTATTCTCTGGAACCAAACTGTAAGTAGAAGCAAGTATTGTATTTTACAAAGATCAGCATAAGAAATCAGGGATCGATATATATATATTTCCTGGTAGGTTAGTGGGGGAGCTCTCCAAATTTTATACACATTCAGCTCAACTCCATCCACCTGAAGTTACAGTCTCATAAGCACAGACTTTTCCCTCCCTGAACTCCTCCCTACCCCACATATCTTAAAGGTAGATATATATCATAATGAGAGTTCTCTTAAGACAAATTGTAAGATTCCATCATTTGAAGTGGCCTGGAGCAAGCACTGGAAAACAAGAGTACCTGCTCCCTGTCAGATGGGACTCTTCATCATCTTAAATTCTGCAATCCTTATTGAAGGATATACCTCAATGGAAGTTTTAAAAACAACTGTAAAAAGGCCAGAACATACCAAAGAAAGTAAAATATAGAAGTGTGAGTTGCACTTGGCAAAATGGTGTATTCTCCAATGTTACTAGAAAATGAAAATGAATCACGTTAGGTTCTGAAATATTGTTCACTACATTTCTTGTGTAGTACTGCTTAATAGCATTGTTCAATGTAATTCTGGAAGGCTGCTACATAGAAATGTGCAATTAGATACTAAAACACATCAAGGTACAGCTTTATATATTTAGGTACCAATAAACATCAACAGGGAGCTTTCATGCTAATATGAAAGTTCAGAGTCATCAGCACAGCTGAAATTTGTGTGCTTGCCTGAAAATATTGTGTTTACTCTTACTGTGCTGTAGAGGCATCTTTTATCTTTTATCTTTTATATATGTAACTGTGAAAGGCTTTAGAAGTGAAATGAGTACCACCTAGAAAACACATTCCTGGAATTGCTTACTCAAATAAACATGCCACATTGATCACTAACCAGTATATTGAAGGCTCTTCCCTGAGACCTCAAAGTGTCATTATTATTTTAAGTGGTCTTAGTCTTAAGTAGTCTTAAAGAAATAAATTGCAATCACAATTTTTCTGAAGATCTGGAAAGAATTTTAGTAGCCTTCCTAAAGACAAGCTTGACTTTCCCTTCAAGACTCCATTGTTGAGTGCTGTTACAGCCATACCTCTGTTTCTTGCCACTAGTGTGTTCAAAAGTTAGCTCTGTAGCTCCCTACACTATTATATATTTATGCCTTTTCTGTCAAAATCATGTTGCTCAGAAACCTGCTCCAGCATTCCACAGAGAGGTGAATATGAGATCAGCAAAAATTTCTTTCTTAGGTGAGATTCACAGCTGATGTTAGTTAGGCAAGTTGTGACTTCAGAGACACTTAGATGTTTTACAGCCGTGGAGATGCTGGCTCTGTATTCCTGCATGTGTACCTATATATATCCTGCATATATTATATATTATAGTCAGTTGAAATGTTTGGGGTTTTTTTATTCCTCGCAAAAAATTTCCTCCCTGACAAAATTAAAATTTCAGACTTTAATCCAAACATAGACATTGAAGAAAATTACATTTTCATCTTCTAATGAAAAGTTATTTTGACAATATCAAAACCATTTCTAAGTATAAAATTGCTATTTCTTTTTCTATTTTGCTCCAATTCTAATTTTTTTTTGTTTCTTAGCTAAAATAGGTTAAGGACCCCACGTAAGAACTTAGCCCTACAGATTTTCATGTGCTGATTTGAATGCTTGGGAAAAATACTGTTTGTCACAAAACTTAAAACTTTGTCTTTGTCCACGTATTGTATTTAAGCAAACCAATACTCTAAGATACAACCTTCCTCCACAAAACACCCAAACAATCATCATGATGACAACCTAAAATCCATACAGAATGGATTGTATGTATGTTGCAATCTTGATTTCAAGACAAAATAAAATGTTTCAGCACCACCTATAAATCTAATCTTTAAATGCCTGTACAAAGGAAAAACATAAATTAATGCACATAATAACTTGTGAATACCAATTTGCACCATGAATCATTTTTGCATAAGCAATTAAGGACAGGAAGTTTTCAACGATCCAGGCTATATATGGTATACAAACAAAATGTTTCCTCCTTTATGAAGTGTTTTTCAGATGAAGAATCCTTTCCAAATGTAAAAACATAAATCTTATGAAAATAACTGTGTAAAGGAATAAGTCTGTGGAGATAATCTTAAATCATACTATGTTTTTTTGAGCAATTTGTGTTCAATTTTTATATGGAAAAAATGTGAACAGAATGACCTAATGTTCTTTTTTAATTTGAGTTATAATAAAATATTTTCAAACTGCTGTATGTAAGCCCACAAAGGAGAGATCCTGCAGTGGGTTTTTTGGTGGTGTGGTTGTTTGTTTGTTTGTGGGATTAGGTTTTTTTTTTCTTTCTCTTTTTATTATTGTATGGTTATCAGCATGTAGACTTTATTTTCCTTACAAACCAAGTTGAAATAAAGTAATCTTCATGGTAGCCTTAAACCAGAATTTTCTAGGGTAATTAGGATGCTTGACTTCTAGTAATATATGGTTACTGGTCAACAGAGTAGAGTTTCTTTTAGTGAAACTTGAAAAAATATGAATTATATGTATAGTCAAAAATGAGCATATTTTAAAAAGTTGGAACTGTTTTATAAAATTTTATGGAGACATGTTCATGCAGACATGGGGCGCAGCACTCTATTTCAAAGCAGAGCATTTCAAAGCCAAAAGGCAAGTGAAGGCAAGCTGGCTCATCGCTAATCATGGCCAGTTTGAGCCCTATACAATAAAAGACTTGATGGGCAGTTTCTCTTGGAAACATTCACATCTGGAACAAATTAAATGAAATACAAATAGAATAAAACTGAAGAAAAATAAAGACAGCTTGTACAATTGTGATCCAGCATTTTGGTTCATCTAGAATGGAAAGCAATGTCAATGACTTTTGAACTGCCAAGGTTAATCATACATTACATACTAGGTTCAAACCCTAGGACTTATTTATTGGAAACTATATATTGGCTATAATCCTTCAAGGTACTGCATGTAATTTAAAAGTACTTGATCATTAATGAAGTCCCTGAAATGGAAAGCTCTGTAGGGTATTTTCCTTCTAAAGTTCTACATAAAGCATCATCCCAAATATCACAATGAATGGAAGATTATCCTTTCCCTTGATGTAAAGCTTGAAAACAATATTGTCTTGATGAGTACCCACTGAAAAAAAAAATAGTTTGGTTGACTGATGATATTAAACAGTCTTAACAGCATAGGGATGAGCCATATATAAATGTGATATTAATTCTTATTGTACAGTGGCTTATACTGGTGTGCATAGGAGCAAGTTTGAGAAAGATTAAAATCCTGGTAATGTAAGGTTCCTATCTTGATATCCGTGTGTTTAAAAGAAAAGGCATAGCTTTTTTATATAATGTATGCAATTCATGCCTGCAAAGGAATTGTTCCTATTCCAAAGTAAAACTGAAGTCCTCATGTGTTCAAAACACTTGTCTCTTCCCTTTTGGGTAACAACTACAAAAATCTTATCAGATCTGAACACCTTCCAGGAAGTGGACATATGCACACACCAGCCAGCTAAATTCAGCAGCCAAACCCTGTCACTTTCCTGGGAACCAGCACTATGAACAAAGTCTGCTATGCTCTGAATTTTATCTCGTCTAAAAGGTTCAGGATCACGTGAAGATTTTAGAATTAGTATTTCAGATGAGATACTATGGAGATACTTGCTGGAAAGTTTAAAAAGCTATGCATAGAAAAAAAAAATACTGCTTTATAAAAAAGTTTTCACTGATTAAAAAAAAAGGAAACTGGCTCTCATTTTCTGTTCTTTGTTTGTAAAAGCAAATATGCAGGTGAGCATATGTGATGATAATTAAAATTACTACATAAAACAGATTCCTGTTTAAAATACAAAGACTTAGTATGAAAAGTCTTCCAGCTTTACTAGAGCTGTAACAGCTTCCAGTAGCTGAAAAGATGCCCCAGCCCACACAGAGGAACAACAAAACACTGGTTTCATTGTAAAAAAGTGCAACGCAAATTAGGGAGTGTGTTTCATACAAGAGACAGGTTAAGCATCACCAAGCTGCAGTGAGCAACCAAGACTGACAATTTGCTTGACAACAAATGTTAAGAGGCACAGAAGAAGAAGAATATAAATCTTTGGTGAAATTAATAATATACAAATGTTTGCAGCTACACATTTTAGAGTCCTTTATTCTTTACAAATGCAAAGGTTTATCATTTCATAGATCCTTAATTTTATATATTATCTGATTATCTGTAAGGAAAAATGTACTTTATCATTTGAAAAAGGAATAAATATGGGGGGGTTTATGCGAATACAGAATTAATTAGATAAAATAAGGTAATAAAATTTGCTAGTCTTGTTGCCCTATTTCATGGACTAGTGGTCAAAACACAAGTGTTCATAAAATGTGTTCATTTAAACAAGTTAGTTCTATGCTATTCATACTGGTCTGTAC